AACATAAAGAACAAATGAAAAGTCTTTAAGTCCCAAAAAAGTGCATATGTATTGCACTCATTAAATGTTGTTGTGTACTCTGAATACGACTTAACATCCATGAATGTGGATGTGGATTCATTGTACGAGTACATTCATGCAGATGTCTATTGTACACCAACTAATCAATGGGTGTTTGATTGAGATTAAATTTTAAACAGTGCATTATAGCGAATAACGTGTGTCAAGTTTGCTTTAAATCGATTTACAAAATTTAGCATATGTTGCAGGATGACATGTGTAGGGATTGATGTTAGTCGGTTTAGATATAGATAGGTAAAAATCACATATTTAAGTTTGTTTGATTTCATGTCAATGTTTCTTCGAAAAGGCAACGTCTTTTAGAATACATATGTAGAATATACCCAAAGTGGTGAAGGGTATCATATAGTTTGCCCAGTCCGACTTTACTACTTTCCTTACTGGTAATAATATATCTTAAATATTCTTCTACAACAATTTCACCAAAACAATACGAAAACAAATTTCTCATCTTGCATTTCTAGGAATGTTCTAGAAGAATTAGCATTTAAACATTCATTTCTCAATTAATAATAATATAGTAATTCTGGCGTATTATAGAGTACACACCTACCATTTTTAAATGGTATCGATTTTGTACTGTACAAACAAAAATAGAAGTCTTATACATTTAAAATGGTGATGTACCCAGTGTAAGACGGTTTGCTTTTATAAATGACAGGGTGTTTCATAGAGGTTTCTTTATATATATTGTGTTAGTGTACTCTACAAAAGTTGAAGCATACCTTGAGGCGTGAATAAGATTCTTTCTCTAGACATTTCACACTTATACAGGAATTTTTAAACATTTATAATTATAAAATGAATTGGAGCCCACTTTTTAATACAAAAATTTAAAAACTGTAATAAAATTTATATTTTCATTTATGAATTCAAAATTATTTTTTAAATTATATGGATGTCAAAGGACAATTTTTTTTCGTTAAAAAAATCCTTAGAAAAGGGAAGAGGAGCCGTTTTTTTTTTGTTATTGCAAAAAAAGCCAGGAATAATCGCAGTAATTATACATGTATATTCTTTTTATGGAACATCCACACAATTACGTGCCATTTTTTTAAATATAAATGCTAGCCCATTGGCGCTTAGCACCCATCGTCATCAAAATTTTTCAAGAGTGAAAGTGAATCATTTTAAAACACAAAATCGAGTTCTTATGTGTAAAATATCACACCATTTGTGACGTTTAAAATTAATGATTCAAAATCCAGTTGAAACCAAATATCTGACACATTTCACACAATTTATAAATAAAAACGGAATCAAAATATAGATATAATAAAATCCAAACATTTTTAACCGTACTAAGCGTGCCACAACATTTTTAACGGCAATAAATAATTAACGGCATATCAAGGTGTTGATTTGTTTTTATGGGAACAATGTAAGATATGTGGCATTAAATTGAAAAATGTTATAACTTTTAAAACAAAAACAATAAAAGTGAAAAATAAGAACTATTGAAGACGATTGTATGATACCCTACACACATTTGATCAAAAATTAAAATCAAAATCAGTGAATACGATTTTTATACGTATTTCTGAAGTGAATTTCATTAAGAAAAACTTATATTCGACTTTGCTTCAACCTTTCGGAAAATTCCGATTATTCCTAGCACTTATAATCTAAAATTGTACGTTATATTTTAGATGGACAAACTAGGGTTCGCTTAAGTGTATGTTGTTTCTTCTCTTTTTCACCTAACCCTATTTAAAGGCAGTCTTCATATATAGTGTTGTAGGGTATGCAATGTCATGTGATTTTTTTTTTTATTTTGCCAAGTTAAAAATAACTAACTTTTTTTTTAGTTTGCCACTGGCGCTTTAGGCGAGATTGTTTAATTTGCACATCATTTAGGACTTAGGAAAATTTTGTTTTTTAATTGTTTTTCTTTTTTATAAAAAAAAATGGAAATTTAATATCACGTTACTATACGAGGGTTTTGGTTCATGGTCACACATTTCAAACTAAAAACAAAAATAATGTGTATATAGCAATAGATCTGGCTTTATACGGAGTCTCTGAATATTTTATAACAGCTTTTTTGGAATATTTATAGGTGTGTCCTTTATAATTACAACCGTTCGTAATGATGTAGGGTATAACCTGGTCGTTTACATTTCTGTAAATTGTTTGTAAATATTGAAAACCATCTATTCCATCTATTTTAATTTTTTGTTCACATAAATTCCATGATAGTTGTTAATCGTATGTTAATGATCTGTGACGTGTGGTGCGCGTGAATAAAATTTCGCAGGTCCTACTAATTGACATGACAAGAGCAGCTAAATATCACGATAATAAGTTTTATAAGGTATTAATTGTTCTCACGCATTAAAAGGGGTTTCAAAAATTTTACTTTGCAAGTTTGAGTTGACGATAAGAAAACAGTCTTTATTGACACATCAGAGTAATTGGATAAACATAACGGAAAGTGATACATATTGAGTGAAAAAAATAGAAAAACAGATTGTGAAAAATAATGAAAATTGTGTACGTAAAGAAAAAAATATTTTGTTTAAAAAAAATATTACAGTTTTTTTTTTTTTTTTTGAATAAAAATACTCTTGATTGAAGAACTTAAAAAATAGAAAATTTTCCATACTTGTTTATTATTAAATAAAAATTTGTTTAATAAATAATAATATTATGCAAATTAAATGAAGCATAAAAATTAAACTTCAAGTAAATGCAAAATTTAAAATAAAACATTTAATGAGCATGTTAAGAGGTTTTTTATACCCTTCACCACTCTGTGGTACAGGGTATTATGTCTTTGTACATATGTTTGTAACAGGCAAAAGGAAACGAGATAGACACATGGATCCTTTTGAGAATATGCATAGAATCACTTTCTGAGTCGATTTATGCATGTCCGTCCGTCTGTCGATGTAAAATTGTAAACAAAGTACAGGTCGCATTTATAATCCGAATTGGATGAAATTTAACATAGGTCACTTATTTGGCCCAAGGACGAACCCAATTGAAATTGGGAAAAATCGGTTCAGATTTAGATATAGCTCCCATATATATTTCCGCTCGATATCGGCACCAAAGTCCCTATATATCTTTCGATTTGCATGAAATTTGGCACAGAGTAATGAATTAGGTCCAGAATGATGTGTGCCAAGTTTCGAGAAAATCGATTCAGATTTAGATATAACTCCCATATATAGTTTCGTCCGATTTAAGGTAAATGGGGTACCAAAGTCCCTCTATATCTTTCGATTTGCATGAAATTTGGCACAGAGTACTGAATTAGGCGCAGAATGATGTGTGCCAAGTTTCGTGAAAATCGGTCCAACTTTAGATATAGCTCCCATATATAGTTTCGTCCGATTTCATGTAAATGGTGCACCAAAGTCCCTATATATCCTTCGATTTGCACGAAATTTGGCACAGAGTACTGAATTAGGCGCAGAATGATGTGTGCCAAGCTTCGTGAAAATCGGTCCAGATTTAGATATAGCTCCCATATATAGTTTCGTCCGATTTCATGTAAATGGTGCACCAAAGTCCATATATATCCTTCGATTTGCACGAAATTTGGCATAACGTAATGAATTGAGCCTAGAGTGATGTCTGCCAAGTTTCGTGAAAATCGGTTCAGATTTAGATATAGCTCCCATATATAATTTCGTCCGATTTAATGTAAATGGTGCATCATAGTAAATATATGTCTTTCGATATTCACAAAATTTGGCATAGCGTACTGAATTTAGTCCAGAATGATGTGTGCAAAGTTTCGTGAAAATCGGTTGAGATTTAGATATAGCTCCCTTTTATTATAGATTGATTTTAAGTAATTGACGCACCAAGGAACCAATAGGCTGATAGGAACAAAACGTTCTGAAATTAGTATATCCTAACCCGTGACAAGTTTCGTTGAAATCGATTCATATTTGGATATAGATTCCATATATGTATATTTACGCCCGATGTTAAGTAAATTGGGCTTCAAACTCCTCATGTTTGTCAGATTGACATGAAATTTTGAACAATTTCCAAAATTGAGCATATAATAACGTAGTTGCGTTTTCTAGAAGTACATACATAGCCCAACGGATGTCCTAATGCTTTGTTTGAAGTCGATTTATATAATTTTGTCCCATTGTAACAAACGAATGACTTGTTTATGGATTGATCTAAGGCAATTCAGATTTAGATAAGTATCACATATTTTAGTTCGTCCAAGTTCATGTTAATAGTCCTGTTTTATATACCCATAGTGGTGAAGGGTAGTGGTCGGCCCCATCCGACTTTACTACTTTCCTTACTGGTTTTTCTATGGAGTGGCTTCAAATCTTGCCTTCTTAAAGAAAATTCAAGGGACATAAATCCCCACCCACAGACTAAATCATGGAAATTGTGTCGACCGTACAAAATCTTTCCATAGGCGTATTTAACTCCGCCTAGGATTGTGACAAGCACCAAAGGGCCGATTCCAATATAGGCTAATATAATCTCCTCCGTTTTATGAGTAGCTGGGATTAATGGACAGATATCCACACATAACATAAAATATGTGGACCAATCGGCGAACGGTGTTATAACTGATTTAAGCCTAGGTTTCCTTTCCGACCGCCTCTATAATTGTTGTTTTCTTGAATTTTTATTATTAAAACAGCCTAAATTTAAAGACCATTTTTGAATTCGAAATGTAATATTGAAATTTTTTTTTTGACAATTTGCTTTACAAACAATAAAGAAAAAAGTTTGAAACCATATGATTGTCACTTACACCTTATTAAATACACCTTGGGAAAATTTATTAAAAAATTACCTAGCCTACTTTCTATACAAAAAATTTATTTAAAAATTCGAAGAGTGTGTGACAATAAAAAAAATTATTTATTACATTTTTCTTCTTTTGTTATTCCAGAATATTATATATTATAAATGTGTTATTTCTGTCAACAATGGTTTTGTCTGAGCAATCGGAGTCAAATACAACCTCATCAAGTATAAATTTACATCATTGGAGGCAGCATCGTCGTGAAAAGCGTTATTTAATATTTGAAGATTTGGGAGTTTATAAGGTAAGACAATTATCAAACATCCTTCACGTCAATTTGTAAAACATTTCAATACAAAACTTATGATTTTTATAATTTTTTTATAGTAGGTTTTATTTTTATTTTTTTTAATATGCATACTGAAAAAATTAAACTATTAATAAAAAATCTAGTAATTTCTCGCTATTGATCTCAATTAATTGAAAATTCTTTTTAGGTTCTGGAACAGAGTTTAATTAAAATATATAGAATTTTTTTGGGATTACAAATAATATTGGGGAATAGCATATCTTCATTTGGAGATTTGAGTTAGAAAAAAACTGGCAACGCTGTCTAACTTCAGCACTCGACAATCTCTGCCGATGAAAATTGAAATACTTATCTATAGGTCAACAGAAAGTGAATGAGAATTACTTTCCCATATTTCGACATTTTTTTCATGGTCGTTCATTGAAGTCTAGTTGTCTAATTATTTTTGTTGCAATTTGAGTGTGGTGCAAAAATTTTGGTATCCTAGTATTATATTAACCCTTTGTGGCCCAATGTTGCCCACAGGCAACAAAATGTTTTAGAGCTTATATCTAATATACAGCTCGTAGATATATAATCTTTGGATTATAATTATGGACAACACATATCGAAAGAAAAATTTTTAAAAATTCAAATTCTTGGTAAAATTATGAGCTTTTCAATATAGAGAAGAGGACACAAATCTGTACAGTACTAATTTGTGTATACAGTCCAAAATATTTTAAAAATTACGGACAAAAATTCGGGGCACAAAGGGTTAATGAGGTCACATTTTACAGTGTTGCCAAAACTTTATTGAGAAAATATGCTAGATTTTGTTTAAAAAATGTTTACAAATTTAACAAAAGTGCTAAAAAGATGTGCTAAATAAATGGTTTATAGGTACTTATGATATCAATATTTCGTAAAAATACATTCAATTGAAATTTCAAATTTTCTATTAAAATTACTGTAAAATAAAAGAGTTATAAATAATTGATTTAATTGTTAAACATTTGTCCTTTAACTACTCTCGCTTAGTCTAATTTCAAACATACAATTCTTATAAATAAACTATTTGTTCTAATAATATAATTTGATCTGTCACGAGTTTTCCCATCGTGTGCGTCATAAAATCTTAACAATAAGTGCCATTTCAGCGTTGTATGTGGGATTTTAAACTCTTATCTTTAACCATGAATCTTCACATCCGATTTTTAATAGAGCCTCCATTAGAAGTTTTTCTAGGCAGTTTTCCAAGATCTTCACACGGTGACTTTTACATCGATGAAGATGCTTATTTCATCGGATCTTGACTGAATGAATACTGCTTAATTCATCTCTTTCTAATTTCTCAATATTAGCTGGATTCCCATATGCAGCACTTTCCTCTTTCTGCTACAGATATAGTTGATTCAGCTCTTGTGTTATTCTCTCTTAAAGCGGATACTTTTTCTTTCTCTTTATCAATGCTAATTGTTTCCTCCACAGGCTTTTTAAAAGGCTTTCTTGAAGCCAACAGCTACGCTACCTTGTATAATTGTACCATGATTTTTAGTTTGCTTTTCCATCCATGGGGAAAACATCACTATTTTCTTCTTCATTCAGGAGATCTAATTCGTGATCTTGTTGCAAACACTCTGGTTCTAATCTAACACTTTATCTTTTAATTTTTTTCCAGCTCAATATCGGCGTTGCATTTCCCATTGATTTGGAGGATAAACGTAATTGGCGTACCCTAGCGATGGCGGTTAATTTTCAATTTCAATATAATCTACCGCCAAAGCCTATATATTGGTGGGATAAATGGGATACACGAAGTTTGGGCTCGTTAGGGTCTTTTAAAGAATCGGAAAAGGAAAATTATCAAACAGATGAGCCACAGTTGTTTCTTTATCAATGGTTTGAAAATCAAATGAATCGACGGGAGACAAATGGTCGGGAATGTCTGCTAAAGGCCATATGTGAAAATGCACAAATCGACGTACATCAGGGGCTGTATGCGGAGATATTGTATCGGTTTTTGAGGTACGTTATTCAATGAGAAATTCATAATTTAAAGAAATTATTCATAACGTAAAGAAATTATTCATAATGTAAAGAAATTGCTCATGATTTAAATAATGGTTCATAATTTAAAGAATTACTTCATAGTTTAAAGAAGTGTTTGATAATTTAAAGAACTAATTCATAATCTGAACACACTTATGCATAATGCTATGAAATAATTCATAAAATCATTAAAATTGTGTCCAATTCTAGGAATTTGTTCAAAGAAGATAATCGTGAAAATTCCGGTCAAATGAATTTTGAGTTTGTAAATGAACCACTTCATTCATAATTTGATGAATTGGTTCATAATTTATAGAAATTAATCATATTAGCATATACTTATGCACAATTCTATGAATTAATTCACAAAATCTCTAAAATTGTGAATAATTTTTGTAATTTCTTTTGAAAAGTTATAAAAATGCAATTTTTCTTTTTTTATTTTCAGGCCTCATCGAAACATGGATTCAGATTATGTTGATGCCTGGCATATGGGTCTTAAAGGCATTGATTGTCAGTCAAATTATCCAAAAGCTATTAATTGTCTCCTGGATAAATATACCCATGTACGGGAAGAGTTTATGGGCTATACTAGAGTTAAAACGCAGGGAAAAAGCAGTGAAGAAGAGAATAAATAGGTCTGAGACATAGTCAAATAGTCATCTGAGACATAGAAAATATCAGTTTGGATTTCGTCAATTATAAAGTCTCTTTCAAACAAGGCCATGTTTAAATAAGAAGTGTTTTAATAAAACATGTCATTTAAATAGTAATTTTCTTCATGTCACCTGGTGTAAACATAGTGTAACTCATCTGGTAGCATGTGGATAGCCAGAGGCGTCATTAACTACTTGAATTGATAAGCGTTACTAACAACAGCAATTCCAACGCCAAAAAAAAAGTAATGTGGAGGTGATGCCAACCACAAAAAAAGCCACGGCACGTGATTTTTTTCTGGCAAGACTATGATGCAATACAGTGAACCCCGTTTAATTACCTCAGTGAAAATTTAAAGATTTTTGAGTAATTCTGTGGAAGGTAATTAAGCGTGTTTTTGTCTCGACCATCTGTCAAATTTTTCATTATAATATTTCACATGGTTGGCAACATTGCACATCGAATTCAAGTAGAAACTATGCACCTTGACAGTTAATCGGATAGTCAGCTGCGTCGTTGCGCTAGTAGCAACGATGTTTAATTATAAGATGATGTATTTAAACCAAAACATTTGTTTTCTACTCGACCACCTGTCAAACATTATCTAGTAATATTTCCCATGGTTGGCAACATTACACATCGCATTCAAGTAAAAACTACACACTATGCCAGTTAATCGGATAGTCAGCTGGGCTAAATGTTTATTTTATTGTGTGATGGGGAAACTTGAGCTTTAGCCAAGTCATGGCACAATGAATAGGTAGTCCATTTAGCGCAGCTGATGTCTCGATTTACTGTCAAAGTGCGTAATTTATACTTGAATTGGATGTGCAATGTTGCCAACCATGTGAAATATTATAAGGTAATTTATTATAGATGATCGAGACAAATAAAAGGTTTTTGTTTTGATAACTAAACTTATAATTGCATCATGACTTGAGCCGTGATGCAATAATAAGGTGATGTATCAAAACAAAAACCCTTGTTGTTGTCTCGATTATCTGTCAAATTTTTCCTTATAAAATTTTAAATGGTTGGCAACACTGCACATCGAATTCAAGTAGAAATTACCCACTTTGACAGACAATCGAGACATCAGCTGCGCTAAATGGACTAGCTATTCATTGTGTCATGACTTGAGCTTTAGTCAAGCAGACTATGAATAGTTGGCAACACTAAATATTGGCTTATGAAACTATGTGGTATCACAGTTAACAATATGTCGATCTGTTTTGTAACTGCCTTTAAGTGTTTACATTAGAAGTGTTTTAACACATTATTTAAATTGTCATTAAATATATTTCATATATATTAAAAAAAATAATAGACTAATAATAATAGTTTTTTTTTAATAATTTAACTAATTTACTTTTAGAAAATATTTAAAAGCTAAATAATTGTAAATATGCTATTTAATTATAACTTAAAATTAAAAAAAAATAATTCAATAAAATAAATATAAATTATTAAAATATACAGCAGCAGTTTTACTCCATTGGCTCTTCATAAATCTCCCAATCGATACAATAATATTTCTTATTGTTTTCATTGAGCCAAACATTAGCGCAGTACATGGTGCAAAAATAGCAGGTAAATATCTGGCGAGAGGTGCTGCCACGTCTGAAAGGAATAAAATAAATTAAAATAATTGTGTTTAACAAATAGGAAGTATATTTTATTCAGAAGTACTGGCTAAACTTTCAAAGGTGTTATAGCTGCACATCAAAGATAGTTCGACACCACTTATCCTTCTGGCAGAGTAATAGTTAAGACAGAATAGTCGATTTTATGTTTATGTGTTGCCGAAAACACAAAAACCGCACGAATGCATTAAAGCGATGCCAACCACAGCGAAATTGATGACATGTGATTGTTGTTTATTTGGCAACACTTTGGTGTGAAGGCGTTACCAACAGCATTTACACCGCCTTGTTTTAATAGAAAAGTTATACAAGTCAGAAATTATCAGAAATGATGCAAGAATTTCCGAGGTGTATAATAGTACATTTCCATCCAGAGGATTTAAATAATGAGCGTGTAAACCAAAAACTACTTAGCGGCGCCTTCCTATATCATACGAATTGCCAACATTTGGTTTCCTCCCAACCTAAAAATCCCCATCTCCAACTTACCTCTTAACCACCATAAAATAATAAGTGGTAAATAGCGGATTTGAACATTTAAACACAGTACAACGTCCCGTGGGTCCATTGCGTATATGATTGACCATACATTTTTCGGGGAGCATATATTTTAATGCAGGATTTTCATAAAATGGCATGAGGCGATTTAAATTCTCCAATGTTTTCAAACAATCATCATACAGGGTAACTTGATTCTCTTTTGAGGGTACGGGAAAGATTTCTTTGGTACCTATTGGCAGTAGTAATCTTTTGAATGTCTCCTTTTCGACGACCCAAAAGAAATCACTGTGGGTGACGGGACTGAAAGAAATGAGACGAAATTAAATTTAAATTAATAGGAAATGATTCTTAAACAAACATTTTAAGGAAATAGTTTGTAATTTTAAGGTAATAATTATAGATTAAAACTGTATAATATTTTCCATGAAACATTTCATAATACATATGCAATTATGCATAATTAATATGAAGTAATGCTTATTTTTTATGAAATTTGCATAACAGAAATGATATGTAAGAAATTGGGCATAATTCATTGTATGAAACTTCTACGACATTATAGCATAACTTTTATGATACTATACGTATATAATATTATAAAAATAGTATTCATAATTTTTAGGAAATTATTTTTAATAGCTATGTAATAATAGTATATTTAGTATCGTATTCATAATTTATATTATTTTGTATAAAGATTCATTTTCAATATAGTATGCCTAATTTCTATGACACATAAAATAACATTTATAAAATGATGTAAAATTTTACGAATTATTTCATAATATTCATGAAAAACTTTAAGAAAAACATTCATGCAAACACTTACATATGTGGTGATTTTGTGGGAGTCTCAAAATAGTTCTGATAGAATTTCTCATAGATTATGGGTATGTGCGTTATGGCAGAATTATTAAATATCCTTAAGTAATCGAGGAATTTGGCCAAAGCCACTGGTAGGTAGATTAAGGAGCATTCTGCAAAAAGAGGAAAGTGAAATTAATAAAAATTCTTTCTTATTTAAATAAAGGCCTAGACAGAATCCATTATGCAATAATGGATTCTGATGTATGTATTAAAACAAAAACCTTTGTTTTTGTCTCGACCATCTGTCAAATTGTTCCTTATAATATTTGACATGGTTGGCAACATTGCACATCGACTTCAAATAGAAATTATTCACTTTGACAGTTGGTAGAGACATCAGCTGCTCTAAATGGACTATCTATTTATTGCACCATGACAGAATCAATGATTTGTCTTTAGGTTCGAGTTTCGTGTTGCCTAAAAACAAAAACCACATGACGTTGTTTTCACTGTAGTTGGCAACGCATTAGCTACCCGCTAGCAATGAAAATTCCAATTGATGGTATGTAACTAGTTCCAGCACTAGTTATAAACCGTAAAAGTTACTTATTTGACCCTAAAGTAATGCAAGAGGAACCAATTGGCTAGAAAAAAATAGGTTTTATTTTTTCAAAAGAGAAGAAAATAATATTTAAAAATTATCTCCCAACAGCCACAAAAACTAGTTTTTGTTTTATGTTATGTAGCTAGTCTCAGCACTAGTTACATATTGGATCCTAAAGTAATATCAGCCGAACCAATTGACTACCTTTTTATCCTGTAGTAAACGAGAAGGAGTCTGTTGCGACCTTAAAGAAAAAAAAAACACGGGTTTTGGTGGTTGGTCTGCATAAAAAATCCGTTATTCTCCATGAATGCAAGATGAATTTTGTTTGGAACAAACCAGTCTTTTTGTGATCGTCTTGAAGTGCGGTGGCATCAAATTGTGAAATATTAAAGAAAATCTGTATCATGTAAAACAAATGAATTTTTAACTCAAATGCTAGGATATATGTATATGTAAGTACTTATGTATATAATTTATTTCCTATTGAATAAATATTATTGTATTTTCCTTATAGATCAAGATCATGACATCTATTATAAAACGTGAATTAATGACTGGAAAATTATGGAAAAGGGGATTACATTCTCTTAGTAATTTTTGCAATGTTCTTTTAGGTAAGGTATTAGACACATATTTTCTTTTTTACTATAATATTATAATCATTGTTATTTATTTATTTCCAGATTCAATACCTGTAACCGAAGGATCTGACACGACCGAAATTGCAGTATGAAAGTAGTACGGTTTTACTTATATGTAATTAAAAAAAATAAAATCAAATTAATAAATGAGTGTTTTATTGCTAATATCATCATAAAAACGGTACTGAACTAGTTCTTACGGAACTAGAAAGGTGGGTAGTCTAATGTAACTAGTCTTTGACTGTAAACCTGTAACTAGTATAATACTAGTCCTCGAGTAAGCGAAGGAGTGTCAATTGGTTGCCTCCTAAAGTAAACAGTTAAATACATTGTAAAGGGATGTAAAGTGGAACTAGTCACTGTAGAGCTGAGAATCGACGACTTTCTGAATACGAACTAGTTCCTCTTGCTAACGGGTATGGTTGTTTGTTTTTATTGGCAACACTATTTCACACCACAAAGCGCAAACTTTGATTATGCTTGGGTCACCCAGTAAGATCAGCTGTTTCTCAAGTTTGCTGTTTTTTTTTCTTTTTGGATTTCTTTATTAATAGGCCAACCTGGACCTTTATGATTTCACTTACTATCAGCTGACAGCATTTGTAGCGACGGCATATTGGCAACCCTTTCTGGAATGTGCCATATTTCGGTATTTTCACTGAGATTCAATTCATTGAGGCGGGAACATTCACATATAAATTGAGGTATACGTTTTAGTTTATTTTTCGAAATGTTAAGGGATTCCAAACGTTTCATATAGGTGAGAGCTGAAATAAAAGGAAGACAGATATACATAGATAAGATGAAAATGCTCAAAATATAAAATTACTTATTTAAAGGATGGCGGCCAAGTGAACTTCCTCTGATTGTGATTTTTTTAAATCTTTAGTGTTTTTTTTAATCTTTAGACTATAGTCTTTTTGTGATAATGTGCAAATAAAGA